TAAATGTACACGTACGAGGATGAATATCGAATTTCGTGTAGCTGCTTAAAGGTACTTTAGCTTCGTACATTTTAGCTTCATAGAACAAGGCAATCAGTGGTAAGTTCACCACAGCTTGTGGTGGGTATTGGTATAGGTCTTACTTGAGATAATCCAAAGATTCACTTTTCAATAGTGGTATGTGCAGTAAAATCTCATTACAACGAAGCGTTTGTGAGCTTAATCAAAATCAGTACAGCTATTTGGTGGAGATGACCAAAGACAATTTTTGTAAGCAATAATTCGTTTTAACGAAATTCGTTACAACGAGATTATACTTTAGTAAAAACAAGTTCATTCCTTCATTGGTGGAAACGTTATGAAAATATTAGTGAATTCCGGTACTTTGCTGCTTGGAACTCTGAAAAAAATACTTCCCATCCCAAAAACGTGTACAATGCCAACAATTCAATTTATTTTTGTACGAATGTGAGACCTGACCTCATAATAGCTCAATCCTTTCAGGAAATAACGGAAAAGGACGAGTTTTACTCTGAGTGAAACACGGTTTTAAACAAAATTATGGATCAAGAAAACGCCTTAATTAAGAAATAATATAGTTACTTCATTTTTTATACGTCTTCAACTGCTTAAGCAAGTCAGCTTATTTAATGATCAACGCAGATAAGCTCAAATGGCTCAATTAACTAGGAATTTTAAGCTTCGAGGGCTAAAAGTTAATGAATCTTAAACGACTGAGTGCGGTCTTAGTCGAGAAAATGGCAGTTAGATGAGCTCGTCTTATAATTTTACATTTATATCAGCAACAACATCATATATCGCCCGAGTGAATAGGTGGAGCGATTTTTGAAGATTTGGGACATTTTAATGAATTAATGTGAATGTCATCTTTTTCTGAACATTTGGAAAAACGACCTTTTTGAGAAATGCTGTTACAATACGATGTCTTGATTCTGAGTCATTAACTATAAGAACTATTAGATTTGTTACTAAAAATGCCCTTAAATTCAACTGATTTAAAAAAAAAGACGTTGATGAATTTTCCGAGGAATGATCGAATGAAGGAACGATTTTGAAACCCTATTTTATTTTCGTCACTGCATATTGTCTATAGTAATTCTGGAAATTACTATAGACGATATCCCCCACAAATTCAACTTCACTTCTTTCAAGCAATCACAAACTACAAGAATCGGGTGAAAAACACGCAGACATTAATGAGAGGAGGAAAAAAGTTTTCAAAAAAGGTAGTTTCCAGCCAACTTTTCTCTACCGTTGAATTGAAATTCGGCCATTTATTCAGTTCCATGCGCTTTATTGAATGCAAAAAGATCTATATAGTTGTTAACATCTTCTCGCAGTTTAGAGGAAATTTCATTTCGCCATTCACCTCTCAGAGTAAATGCAAATTTCAAATCACGGCTGCAAATCGGAGGCTAATCAGGCAGTTCATTTCCTTTGCGCGTCTCGATCATTTCTCGGCCTTGGCAAAATCAGTCCAAAGAAAGGCAAAGGGGGGAGTCCTTAATAAACCCGACCTCAATTGCATCACCCGGGTACTTTCCTATGCAAGCATTCAAGTACGCACTCTCAATCTGTTCAGCAGTTGGGTTCATCAACAATCATCCACACAGGAGAAAGAAAAAAGAGAGACGAGCAGTAAGATATTCGAAGCCCATCGTGTTTCCGATCAATTCCCGATCCTCGTATCCCAATCCAAAATGATCTCCTTTCGGCTTCGAGATTATCGACTTGCGTGTATTGCAATGCACGAAAGATATACATAAATATATACAGTATATACACTATACTGCTGTATACATGATGTGTCTCGTGAGATTCGTATGGCCTGCAAATTATATGAAGGCAATGTCCATGAAAAAGTACACCACTCGGTTATTTTTTTCATCACTGATCCGAATGATTAGCACCATTGCGCATGAATCGCGCAATGTAATCTGGCTTTGAGGAATCGTTACAAAGAGTATTATTAATTTCATTGATAATGAGCTGATACAGATCTGTGTACAGATGCAGTATTTGAGGGTTGGTTCAGAAATCTCGTAAATTTTCTGTCCAGTTCATCAGTAAATGTAAGCATCAGATATGAGCCTATCCATTTTTTATTAAAAAAAAAAACTTTTCGAGGGTCCCTCTGAAAGTGTGACTTAAGTTCTTAACGCGACTTCATCTGTAAATGAATGATGGAAGAAATATACAACATCAGTGTTTCAACTTCGTACTTTTCAAAAATTCAGAATATACTCTGTAGGAAATTATCTCCAAAACTGTATGATTATCGTCATACCTGCGTTTCTGAGTTTGTTTTAGAATTTTTTTTATGAAACCTGTCATAAATTCGCGCTACTTGTTGAAGCACTTCTCAGTTCCCACATATTCATGGAAAAGAGGAATGCCTTAGTTCTGTCGTAATTCCTGCGGTAAATATATAGTACAGTATGAAATATGGGAAGCACTGAAAACCCGGTAAAAAAATGTCGAAGTTTTTTGCTCCACCTTCCAAAGTGATCCGGTGAGAAAATTGTTGAAGATTAGACCGCGTGCAATAATACGAAGCCATTTTATAAAGTACAGTACTTTACTGCACTCCGTTTTGTGCGTCAATTAAGTTCATTGAACCTCTTATTCCAAAGTGATCCGGTGAGAAAATTGTTGAAGATTAGACCGCATGCAATAATACGAAGCCATTTTATAAAGTACAGTACTTTACTGCACTCCGTTTTGTGCGTCAATTAAGTTCATTGAACCTCTTGTGGCTTAGAATTTTCCAGCTTTCTTCCAGAAATTTCCCAGAGAAAATTTAAATTCTTATTTGTGAAAACATGATTCCAAGAAGTCAGCCAGTTTCTCCAAGAATTAGCAGCATGTGGTGGTGCAAGACAGTAAAATGCAGATTTTCCAAGAGATTCTCAGATGATCTTTGTTCCATGAAAATTTTTATTCATTGAGTTTTGTACCATAAACCTGTCATGTTGAACTTGGAGCCAAAATTTGTGCAGCCTTGAAAATGCCTTATTTAATAAATGTTATCTTTGCCTCCTGTGTACTCAAGCAAAACATGTATGATTATGTAGAAGAGGTTTTGTTTCCAGCAGATGTATATAAGAGAAAAGTTTAACAGGAAACAGATGTCTTTCAATCTTCAGAATTCCAAAGTGATCCGGTGAGAAAATTGTTGAAGATTAGACCGCGTGCAATAATACGAAGCCATTTTATAAAGTACAGTACTTTACTGCACTCCGTTTTGTGCGTCAATTAAGTTCATTGAACCTCTTATGGCTTAGAATTTTCCAGCTCTCTTCCAGAGAAAATTTAAATTCTTAGTTGCGAAAACATGATTCCAAGAAGTCAGCCAGTTTCTCCAAGAATTTGCAGCATGCGGTGGTGCAAGACTTTAAAATGCAGATTTGCCGAGAGATTCTCAGATGATCTTTGTTCCATGAAAATTTTTATTCATTGAGTTTTGTACCATAAACCTGTCATGTTGAACTTGGAGCCAAAATTTGTGCAGCCTTGAAAATGCCTTATTTGGTAAATGTTATCTTTGCCTCCTGTGTACTCAAGCAAAACATGTATGATTATGTAGAAGAGGTTTTGTTTCCAGCAGATGTATATAAGAGAAAAGTTTAACAGGAAACAGATGTCTTTCAATCTTCAGACTGTCAGATAAAGCGGAGTGATAACTTTTACTTGTCATATACTTGTCATGCAAATTTTTCAGCAGCCTTTTCCTGCAACTTTGAGAATAAGTACCATAAAATAAATGAAACAACCAGTTGCTTTGAGGCCAATCTATCATTTCTGTTCCATCCATGCGCAACTTTATTATGATTACTTTTTATGATTTTTGGAAAGCTCTGAGTTTTATTGAGTCTACAGATTGCTGGCACATTCTTGTTAAAATGCTGCAAAAATACATATACCGTATTTACTCCAGTGCCACATGCACATTTTTTCAGAATTTAAGGCAGAAAAGTGGGTGTTGTACCCAGCAGGGATAACATTTTTGAGGAAAACTTTTCAAAAATCCTGCGCATTGTATGCAAATACATTTAAAAAATTAAGAGGAAATGCATGGTACCAAGTCTTGTTGTTAGTGGGAAATAATGTCTGAAGGGATAGCAATTTTAGGAATCAGTTAAAGATGCAACAGGAAGTAGAGGAAGCAGAAGATATTCCTATATTTGAGGGAGCTGTGGGCAGTAAAAAGCAGGAAAAACAAAATGCCGATAGGGGAAAATGGATCCACACACAAAAATTCTCAATTCCTAAATCTCAGCAACAACAACAAAAAACTAAGGTGCGCGTCTTACACAGGGATAGGTTTTCTGACAAATTTCTTGCAGGAAAATGAGGGTGCAAGGCACAAGGTATACTCAAGTAAATACAGTTACACCCTAAGTTGCATACTACTGCAAAAATACAGTCAACCTCTGTTAAGACACCCCTGATATATGAGCCAGCATCTTTGGCAGAAGCTAATTTCTTAAGAACAACAAATCTTTGCTCACAATAAAACCATTGGAAACCCTGTTAAAACTCCATACACTAAAATTATTGACAACTCAAATATGCTCCTGCCAATTAATTTTGACTTCAATAGCCGGCCAACCAAATTTAAGTTTATGCAGCCTCCAATTTATAAAAATTTATAAATTAAATAGAACACAAACACAAAGATGACATAATTTCCTTCTTGGGAACATTAGCTTGATCTATTTTACGCATCCCAATATTATGTTGATTGTTTTCTAGATTAATAAAAATTTTATTTCCCATTCTACACAAATTTTATATTTTACGTTCTTCTAGCTTTTTTGACAAACCACCAAAACCCTTCAAACTACCCACAAACCCAATGAACAAATGGTGGCGGCGTATTGAGGTTAGACTCTGCGTATAAGAAAATCAATGATTATTTAAATTGCATAGAAAATCAACGGCGTTTTAATTTCCGGTAAAAATGATCGAAATGTTTTTTTTTAATCTGCAGAAATTATCAAATAATACTACTCAACTTTTGTTCAGGGGAAACGTCAAAATAAGCAGGGGAAAATTAAAAAAAGAACAACAACAACAAAAGAAATACAGTTGTGTAACAGTTGGTGAGAATCACACCGCCATGGAAGAGCCGATGCTGAAGAAGGGTCCTGCGTCGACGACGTCGTCGTCCGACGTCAACATCATCGTGCCGCGTCGGCGCCGGTCCGGGGTCGGCATGTTCGGCGCCGGCGCCACTGCCGAGAGTCGCCTGTCGTTCCCGGTGTCCCTCATCGCCCTGTTCCTCGGCGTCCTGGCCTGCGTCACCGCCGTTTGGCTGTGGCGAGTCGAGTTGCCCGCCAGGGTGGCCGAGCTGCAGGAGAGGCTGGAAATGTCGCAACTGCACTTGGGCGAACACAAGAGGGCCATCCACTTCCTGAGGAAGGAGATGATGTTCACGTATTCCCGACTCCAGGTGAACCCCACAAATCTCTCAATCTTATTTTCATTTACCAGTATTTTTTATTCTGTGCGGTGCAGTATTTATACTCGGGTATACCAAAATTTAAAAAATTGCCTTCTTTTAAAATTCGATGTCAATGAGTGGATTGAGCGTAATATACAATTAACGGTAGACCCGGTAATACAAGCAGGAATTTATATTTTAATGTACTGTATATACCTCAAGAAATTTTAAACCCATTATGAAGTGATGAGTGACGAACTCATGGCTGTTCCAGGAATGTTTCACAGTTCTCTACATGTGCAGTTTTTGAAAAATATAGCAAATTTGAAGAAAAAAATCAGAAATCTATAGACCATTGTACAAAAATATTTTTAAATTTTTTTGCATACAGGGTATATAGTCTAGTCTTGGTTACATGCGTGCATGTAGTAACACACATTTTAAAGATACATTTAAAATACAGCAAGACTCCCACATGCGGACACCTCAGCCTGCAGACAATTCGAGATAGGGACACTTATTTTATCATGAAAAAATTAATAAAAATGGCCCAACATGAGGACACTGACTCAACATAGGGACATTTTCTTAAAAAATTGCTAATACATTTCAGGCCAAATTACGAGAAACACATATTTCCAACCCAAAAATTGATGTAAGAAAAATTCTTGGGCATTTCTCTCGCCAATTTACCATCCATTTAGCTAATTTAAAAAAAGTACCTCCGGCAGAGAGAGACTTCCTTCTCTCTTTTTCACTTGAATATNATTTAGCTAATTTAAAAAAAGTACCTCCAGCAGAGAGGGACTTCCTTCTCTCTTTTTCACTTGAATATTATTTTTACAGAGAATGCCAACATTTCTATTTACTGTGCAGAAGTAACAGCATTAAATTCCCCAAATGCCCATGTTGTTTTGAAATACTGTATATTGATTGGAATCAGTTTAAATTGGGAGGCAATTTTTTATATGGAATTATGGTGAGTATTTTTTACATAAAACACAAATGAAAAATTGTATAGAGTAAGTCTAAGGGAAAATGAGACTCAACTTGGGGACATTTTGACTTGGGGACACTCTTGATGCACCAATCACGTCCGCATCTTGGGGTCTCACTGTACTTATTCCTGCATGAATTGGCATTTTAAATGTCTCTTTACTGACAAATGTGTATTCACACTGTGAAATGAGTGAAAAACTCACGATGTTACAGCAGACATGTTTTCAGTTCTCCACATATATGCCGTGTACTGAAAACATGTCTTGGAATTTGAAGAAAGAATTCCCGACGCCTGGACATTTTTATTTTTGCAATGTTGGAAATATTTATTCTCTTGAGAAATTGGGACAACCCTCGTGCGCATGGGACAAAGGATTCCACCAAATTCCAAAATTAAGCAAAGCTGATGAAATGTTCTTTCGTTCGAGTTGGAATTCCAATTTTTGTTGGTTGATTTTCGTCAGAGAAAAAAGTGCCCATCTCACATGGGTTCAAATTTTTTGCAAATGTTTCAACTCAAAAAGTGACATGTCTCTTCTAGGGAGCATGTTACTACTTGAGCAAATATAATATGGTTAAGATGAAAAAAATTATTTGTATTCACGCAAATAAAAAACATTTTTCAAGTTTCGAAAAATTAGCATGCTAAGGGTGCGCGTTATTACAGGAGTGCATGCATTAGCATGTTTTGGATTATTGCACAAACAGAAGAACATGACTTATGCAATAGTTTGTAGTATTTAAAAGTTTTAAATCGATGATGTCTACTGATCACAATTTTCAATTCAAAGGCAAATCTTCACTATTTCAAAGTTTGAAAAGATTAAGCTGGTACTGTACTACTAATGAAGTCATGAGTGGGATCTAAATATGAAGGACGGAGTCGTCTGTCAATGCTGCTGTGGACATGATTTGTGTTGTTGATCGCATATAATTGGGTTCTTCACCCATTTTATTGGGGTTTTCTGTACGACGAATTGTTTCTAGTCAGTCCCTTATGGTACAGTATTTCATTCTTGAAAGTGTTCACCAGTATGCAGTACTGTATTCTACTTCTCGAATTTTTATTTGGAGGGGGGGGGGGGAATATGAAGTTGAGTTTTGTTTTTAAATCATGGCGCCACTTGTGTCCTGAGTAAATTCGAAAGAACTTTCTCGACATCCTAATTATCTGATTTGCTTTCGTGAGACGAAGCTAGGTGTCGCCCCAATTCCTGCACTTGATTCCCTGGCGTAAAGCTGTGTTTTCTTTTTGCCGTGACTCGGTTGTGGTTTCTCGACATTCTCACAAGAGAACAACACTTGACAAACATCATTCAAGGTACAGTACACAGTTTGAGAATTAATCTTGATGTACAATAAATTGCAGCACCTGATCAACAGATGCGTATGAACAACGAACAAAAATAATTGTAAATCTGATTCTGATGGTGAGGACATGAGTATTTGTTATATGCGCATGTTTTTCTTGATTAGCTTATTGTGCCAGCTATGATGAAGTGTTCGAATTCCCCTGGAAAGAATGTTGGGTGTGATGTACTGCTGTACCATAATTGAATATACAGCATACTCTGTGCCGATTTTCAAGCCATTTCCATGTTCCAGAGACAGCATCGAAATTCATCACTTAAAATGAATAGGACAAGCCCCGCTATATCTGTCAAAGATTTTTGTTTTAAGAATTCGTTTTTTTCTTGTCATAACCCTTTTTTCCTTTGCAGGAGATCAAAATAGGTACAGCACATTTTAAAAATTAAATGCGTTGATACAGCATGCATTGTCCACCGGTTGTCTACGATGTTTTAAAGGTCAAGTGTATGACCTTGCAGAGATAAATCATTCTTTCCCTTCGGAGAAATTCTCTCAGCAAAAGTATAGGGAACACATGTGCTTGAAAACCTCGAAGCCATCGTGACAAAAAAAAAAAACANAAGCTCATCAGAATAGACCCGCAATTTATGCCGTAAGAACCGTCAATTTAAGAGGTCTGCACGAAGCACACAACAACTGCAGTAACGAGGTTTTAAAATGTCTAAATCGGAGAGACATTCGCTCATTCTCTGGTACAGTACTGTGTACTGCATTGTGAAACTGACTCCCGCGAGAAGTGCTCTGCGCAACTGCGAAGGTTCCAGCAGTTGCGCAAAGCTTCTCAAACGCACACCTTTCAAGTCACGAAACGGGTTGCAAAAGATTAGAGAAATTCGCGATCACGGTAAATGAAGTTGTACTATCGAGAATTCCCCGGGTCAAGTGCAATAGTTCCAAATCTAACCCGTAATAATCATGTTGCTCAAACGGACCATTCTCGATGTGATGATCGATCTCGCATTTTTCCGGCCCAACGAGACGTACTCAGTACTTGTCATTACCCTAGTTTGCCCGATTCGTTTGGGCTTCTCTAAATTTAATTTTTAAAATCCAAATGAGGGTCACCCATGTTCATATCGGAAATTGAAAGACGTACACACGAGTTGAGCTTTATCATGAGAAGTTATCTGCTATCGTTAATAGTACGTTCGAATTGCTTCTTCAGTCTGAGACTAGGTCAAAAAATTCGGAGCAAAGTTTGAGCCCTCTAAACCTTTCAAGACGTGATGGCTGGGAGTTCTGAAAAAGTGATCCCATCCAATTTTTGTCATTTATTCAAAGCCATTTGGATCAGGCAAAAGCTTCATCATAAAAATTACGTACTCATTAGGAATAAATGAAAAGAAGTACCATGTGGCCATTGAACAGGGACCTAAAGATCTAATTCATGGTCAGCAATAATTTTTTATACAGCGATTTTCGTTACGAGATTTTACCGTAATTTAAGGAAACAGAGAATATGTCAGGATGATTAAAGGAACATCTCACGAGCTAAATTACGTTAATTTCATTTCGACTAATTTTTATAGTAATGCTTTTTCGTCAAGGATTATCCAAATTGGCTTCAAATCCTTGCCAACTGTTCGCCTACCTTGCTCTACGACGTTTGAATCCTTTTTAAATAGTCATCAAATAGTTACCAGCATTTTGACACTTTAAAAATCTCGTTCAGAACGATAACCAACAACTAATTTAGGAGATTTAATGATGGAAACATTTTGGGCTCTAGCACTAGCTCAAATTGTTTCTTTATCGATTCACGAAATTGAAAAACCATCAAGGCAAACAAAATAATCCGAAGCAAATGTTACGAGAAATCCTTCACGTATTCAATTTCTGTTCAGGATTTCCCAGCCAGAATGGGCTGGATTGCTTCAACAAATCAGAAAATCGCCAAGGCAAAACATGCAGAACTTCTGAAAATCCCTCGCTTCAGTGTAAACCCATGGTTCTCAACCCGTGATGTGTGGGGTTTCTGCAAGCAATTCCCGAAGGCTCCTCCGCTTCTTCAGGAAAAAAAAAAAATTTAGTTAAATTTACAAACGAAAAATTTCCTTAAAAAAATTACTTTCGAAGCATATAGAAAGTGTACGAAGCACTGATCCGGACTTCGATTCCAAATTTTGCCTCTTCCACCACATTTTATTGCAAAAGGGGGACCTTCAGTCAAAACAGTCGACCGCTGTTAACCCCAGAGGAGATTGACTTTTAAATCCATAAGCGTTTCAAAAAATGAGCCTTGAAATTACAGTGCCGAATTCAAACCATTCAATTTTGGCAGTGTTACAAGTACTGTACTGTAATTAGCAGCAAAATGAAAAATAAAACGAAGATAATGCCGAAGTTCTGTACTTAAATATATCGTGGTTTGACCTGATTACTTCATGACGCGATTCCGAAGTAACACTTTCTCTTTTTTCACCATCCGACTCATCTGATGAACGTAGGGGCACGTTTTTTTGTTGTTGTAACATTTACATTCAAATTCCAGAACAATTTACCACAGACTTCAAGGTTCGGTCCATTAGTAAGTAGTTCGGCTTTTCACTAGGCGACATTCTTGAGAACCTGATTTACAAAATCTCTCCTACTTTTATTCGCATCCAGAGAACGAGTCACTTGATAGACTGAGGCGGCTTTCTTCTGACAGAGGACAAGCCGGATATAGGGCTTCTTTTTAACGTTAAATTATGTGGACGAGATGCAGCAGCAGGTTGAGGAATTTACGATCTCCTGATCCCGGATAATATTCCACGGAGTAATCGCACTGACACAGCACACGTCCTCCCGGATATTTTTTCCACAGGCGATCAGCGCGTACGAAACGTCGATCAAGCTGCTACAGCCGAATGGAGTCAATCCGAATCTGGCGGATTACCCTGCTTTCCTCCACGACGACAGCACTAAATCCGACTGGGATGTCTTGGGAAAAACTACTTCCGCCATGAACTCCATGCTGGAGAAATTTTCCGAAGACCCAGTCCTCATCCGACGAAACCACGAGGACACCTTCGACGTGGCTTCCACACAGGCACCATGAATTAATCGGTCACCTACGTGAAAAAAGCTTTTCCGCAAGAGAATAGGAAAACGTTCAACGGGGAATTCCGCCCAGAAGCGTATCAATTATTGTTCATTGGAGATGTATAGTGGAGAGGGAGGGGAAATAATGATGAAAATAAAAAGAAACGTGGGCAACAGATTGGTTGCTTTTTCATACGAAATGCTCCGAATATTTCATTGCTCCTCTCCCATTCACACGGCCACTCGAACACTGCTCACGCGAAATTTTTCCGCGGATTTCCCTGTGCCAAGCGCTTACACATGCACACAACATCCGTTCGCGGAATCTTCACGCGAACAAGAAAAAACATCAATAAGGCCTCGTCAGAAACGAGGACCATCTCTCTTCCTTTCGAATCTGAAAATATGGCAGAGAGTCGACGAAGATGGTAAATACCATTCAAGTATGAAAACTTAGACGTTATTGAACACCTGGAAATGCAGAACGTGCCCCAAAACGTCAGGGACAACGAATTTTCACGCTAAAATACATGAAAGCAACTCGGTCAGTTAAACTCGTTCGCACATCCCGCAAAACCTAAGCACAACTGATGGCTGGAAACCGCTCAAGAAACTCGAGATTACTTATATCACAAAAAGCCGACAGACAGAACGGACCCTAATCGAAGCAAAGGACAGTGACCCACCCTCGAATCCAAAAACCCGTCCAAAGACTTCCAAGCAACTGAAATAAACTGAGCATCCACGAACGAGATGGATATAAATATTAAAAATAAGAATTACATTTTTAACTTCTTCAATTGAAGGACTGGGCGACTGTCCTTATTAAATCACTCGAGAATAAGTTGAGTCCACTACCAACTCTGCATCACATCCTCAACTTCCAATCCCCTTAACCGACTGCCTGACACGAGGCACATGAATTTGTTCGAAGTGACGTCGCGAGAGTTCGTAGAACAAATCAACTGCCAGTGTATAAAAAAATAAACACATGAAGCTACATCAAACCCCCTCACTTAGATGCAAAAAAACTTTTGAAACACAACGCCAATGCTGCTGCTGTTATCACTTCTCGGCTGCAAAAGATACTCGACATTTGTTCCCACCGCTCCCAAAATGGCTCGTCCTTGTCAAAAATCATGAAGTAATGTCACTCAAAAAGATAACTAGCGAATCATGTCCGGAAATCGACAGAAGTAGCAATACTCCTGGTTTCTATTACTCCTTTTGATTAAGAATTTGAACTTTTCTTCATCAAAAGCCAAAAAGAGAAGTCGACTGAAAACTAAACTAACTCCACATTGGCTTCTCGAACCAAGGATATCGAAGCTTAACTTGCGCCGTACCAGGCCAAGCATCGTTGCGCCTGTCAAAAGAAGTAGCACCGTGCTTTCTTTGCATTTGAGGGCGCGAATTGGGAGCGTAGAAAACAAACGGCATATTCATGATATGCGAGAAGGCGCAAAATCGGACATTCAAATAACCAAGAAGTACTCATCAACGCTCTTCATCCTACATATCACGGCAACTCTTGCAGAGTTCTGCGGTGCTCAAAGAAATACTTAAGAGAAACAGCCCATCCAGGTGGTTCTCAGTTGCAGCTTGAGCAAAAACCTAGCTTCCCTCTCGAGAACTCGACCCCAGCAGCCATGGATTATCGTCCAAATAAAGGTCTTTTCCAGTTTACCAAGCACCAAAAGAACTCCTACATCTCCCATCGAGTTGAGAATTGCACTAGCAACGAGCGCAAATCGCTCAACGATCGCTGGCATTAACCTTGGACACAGCACGTCAAAAATGCAAACTCGCGACACAAAACGCCGTGTCTCTGAAGGAGTGGAGAAAGGCCGATTCGGTGACGAGAAATTCTTTTTGGACATTCATGCCGGAGTGTACCTTCAGCATGACGATTCTAAGGTCGGTGCGCCGTAACATAGGTGGCGGGGAAGAACCCGCTTCGGCCATCAATTTCTCCAGTCCACCAGTTTTGGTCGGTCTGATCAATCACGGTAATGAGGTCACCACGACGGAATTCCAACTCGCCCACCTCTTGAGGAGTGAAGTCATACATCGCACGAACGACGAACTGCTGGGAATTCAGATCAGAATTCTGTGGGAGATGATTAAAGCACTTTTAACACAATTATGTTTCCACTCACTCTCTCTGGTCCTCGATCTCTCAGTTTTATATCCTGTGATCTTGAAACAGACGCAGAACGGTGATAGTCGACCAATTCATTTAAGGAGTCAAATTTCACAACCCACAGAAAAAATTTTCCTTGTGGATCACGCAGAACCTTGAAGTGCTGCACGCCATCTCCGCATCTAAAACACGCACATTATGCGTAAGCTAAAGTTGTACTTGCTCAACTCCAACGAAGAGAGAATTCAAGCAGAAAACAGAGGATTCAACAAAACAACGTTCTCGAAATTTTCTCAACGGTGAACGCAAAAGACAAAGCAGGATATAGACATCTCACTTCACAGAAAGGGAGAAGTCGCCGGGTGAGCTTTCGCTAACGCGAACCAGGAAACACCCTTCATGCTTTTCCATTAAAAAACGCTCAGCATCTGCTCTTGTAATTCTCCCATGGTACCACCTGAGAAAGGAAGAAACCTTTCTAGTTCAGGCTTCACATTCGCATGAATCAATACTCACTCGTGAGGGCGCATTTCTATGTAATTGCTCGGAACAAGACCTTCTCGACCTTCGGACTCCGCTTTGAACCAATTTGCATCATCTTCCATATTGAGAATCTTAAAAAGGAAATAATTTCGATCAGAAATGACAGGACAAGCAATTGCATACAAGGCTAACCTTCAGAACTTGTCCCTTACGAAAACTCAATTCATCTGTCGCATTGGCGTTGAAATCATGCTTAGCCACCGCCTCCATGGCTGCAATGTCGTGGATTCACTTGAAACCACCTTATTCTAAGCACGATCACAATCACCGAAACTGAAAACCTTCTGCGAGGCAGGAATATCGAGAACACCGATGCGGGGTGGGTCGGGGTGTGATCGATATACAGTATAGAAAATCGCACCTAATTTCGATTCGCGCCAAAAGTTTACAGAGATAGCGTTCGCTCAATCGTCTTTCACTCAACAATGTTCCATAATATCATCGGCGTATGACGACACGTTACTACGAGGCTACGTTGACTCACTAACGGGATCACGGCGGCATAAGTTGCAGTACACTTGAACCTCGAGCACACGAGATCGTAAGCTAACGAGGTGGGGGATTCTACATATGATTCGCCGCCATTTGTACATTTTCTCAGGAATAGGTGATCAGGCCAGCTAGTGAGTGTTCGATGAAAACTTATTCATCATGGCGTTTTCCTGAAAGTGGATTATCCATTCGTTTATTCCCCTCGACGTTCCGTTGTCGGGAAACTCACTAGTGGATTGGCTAAATTTTCGTCATCATATCCATTTTATGTTTGACTGTGTATGATCTGCTGCATTGGTTTCTTTGTAGGAAACGGTTTAGGAAACCCGTCAGAAAATGGGTCGCCGGCCGGCTCGATGGTGAGTTGAGACGTTGTAGTGGCACATAGTAAATGTGACGGAGAGTGTAACATTTATTCTCTTCAGCTATCGGTATTGTAAGAATAAGCCCTACCCGAAGTCGCGGTTCTGTCGGGGTGTTCCGGATCCAAAGATCAGGATCTACGATTTGGGGAGGAAGCGAGCTGACGTCGAGGAATTCCCGTTATGCATCCACCTCGTCTCGAACGAGTATGAGCAGCTTTCTTCGGAAGCTTTGGAAGCTGGGCGTATTTGCGCCAACAAGGTACAATATTACTTCATCGTTGTGCGAAATTCCCGTGTGCATTCGGTTTCTTTCCTCAGTACTTGGTCAAGCATTGCGGCAAGGACCAGTTCCATGTAAGGATGCGCCTGCACCCCTTCCACGTCATCCGTATCAACAAAATGTTGTCATGTGCTGGAGCCGATAGGCTCCAAACGGGAATGCGTGGTGCGTTCGGTAAGCCGTTGGGTACCGTCGCCCGAGTTCATATCGGGCAAATCATCATGAGCATTCGCACGCACGATCGGCACAAGGCCTCCGTGATCGAGGCGTTGCGTCGTGCGAAATTCAAGTTTCCCGGTCGCCAGCATGTGAGTTGGTGTTTCTATTCGTTATTCGGTATGTTCTATATTGTGTATTATTTGTGTTACAGATCATCGTGTCCGGAAAATGGGGCTTCACGAAGGTTAGCCGCGAAGAATTCCCTGACATGTTGAAGGAAGGCAGGTTGACCAGCGACGGCGCCACTGTGCAGTACAGGCCCGAACATGGACCGCTGATCAACTGGATCTTCGAGGTCGAACTCGATGCGCTTTAGCGGACTTCACTGGGCACAGGGTCCACTGTAAGCTACAGGGAAAAGACGCACTTAAACTTAAGCACCAAGTGCCCTACTCTCTTTATTTAAATGGCCCTGAAATATCCTGTTCCTGAGAAACGACAAGAGCCGTTTTCATGTTGAATTAGCTTGTCCTTCGTTTGAATGCAGATAGGGAATGAAGAGCATAAGTGACAAGGAACATATTTTTGGATTTTAACGACTGAGAATCTTAGCATGCGAACCACGGGTTCGACTCAGATAACAGTCCCATACGGGTGAGTTACTAGATCTAGAATTACTGTTCATTCTCAAGAGCCTACACAAGACGGTTGTAATTCTTATTTCCGACGCTTCTGCAGCACCCAAAAACTTCCACGCGGACGTCATCGTTTCCGTGTAAGTTTTGTTTTCGGAATTCTAGAACCCTTGCGGCCCACCGTAGGTGTTCGTGTTTCAGATGTAAGGACAACAGTAATGTGGCTAGGACAAACGTTGGCACTTATCGGATGTTGAATGGGGTGGAAGTATTCTTCAGCGAAGTTGCGACGTGTCGATTCACAACAGCATGGTAGAATTGTGGTACAATTTAGTTCTGCTGTCGTCCTTCATCCCTTATTCTGTTCATGGCTCTTGGTTCCATTCTTACGTAATTTCTTGTTCAGAACGTTGAATCTGAAAAATCATCGATTAATGGAAAAATCGGTATTCATCAAGCATATAAAGAGAAATCATCTTCCTTTCGTATGTAATGTTCAGTGTCATTAAAGTAGGATAGTGTACAGTATAACTACTGAAGCAATGGCCGAGTATTTCTTCTTTCCGGAGAGGAACGCGTTCTCTTCGTTGATTTCAGGCCATGAAATCTTCACCGCATAAAAGCTGAATGTTTTGTTGTTGCTAGTTGTCGGGAGTCTTCATATTCAAGATGCCCGAAGGTCTCGCAGTTATCGGAAGTAGTGTAATCCGTCTTCTTCCTTGCCGTGTGTGAATCCCTTATATTTCGCATGCCGCTTTAAATAATTTATTAGAGCATAGCTGATTCCACAAAGATCCAGACATGGGGGAAAACAGCAACTGCTGAAAAGGTGTCTACAGACCTGAAATATCACTAGATTGTGACTTCATCGTTCTCTATTCAATGCCCAGAGAATCAAACTCTAGAAGAAAGATTTCCGTTAATATAGGAACCCATCGAATCAGTTTTAAAACTTTTAATAAAATTTACCGTATAGTCAGATGAAGTGTGCAATAGTTGATGATGGAGATGTACAGTATATCAAGCATACATTTTTAGGAGTTGTCCGATTTGGCCCACTCATCCGAAGTAGTCGTAGTTTTTCTTAAACACATTTGTTCGATTGAAAGAGGTAAAAGATGTACATTATGTATTTTTCGAATTCGCACGCATTCATGATATTGATCGAATGTTGGTACTAGTGTTCAACAGTAATTACGTTTTCATCAGGATTCTGACACGCAAAAACATGTTTGAAGAAGGATTGCAGGGCCATCCTAAGACAACCTGCATCTCCAGCTACCCAAATGAAAATAACACGAAGCATGTGGAAAAAAAATCGCGACATTTACTCTTTCGAACATTGGCATCAAAGAACGAATAAGTCGCATCATCCTATTATATCCTC